AAGGTATATTTTACGAAAACTAATATAAAATTGAAATATTGTTGATCTTAGTTTATGCACGATTTATATATCCAATGGCTTGTTGCAACATTATTGATGTATCTCGATATTATATTAGCTTTTAAAGAATCATTTGAGTTATGGCATGTGAAAAATATGTGAGAACGAAGGTAATAACGCGTAGCATTATGTTTCTCAAGGTAACGACTGTAACAAGAAAAATGAGAGACCACGAACTTTGTTTCTTCAACTTTCAAAGTTACATAAATCAATGGTTACTTCTCAACCCGATCTACTTGTAGTATATTTCGACATATAATATAACATTTTAATACGAACTTTCAAATAGCTTTTATCACAGCATTAGTCTCACTTTATGATTACAACCTTGATAAATATCATATTATGATATTTTTATGTCGTTCGAATGAAATTCTTTTCATTTATATTACGCTTTATGCGCGCAATGTGGACGGTATATTGTTAATAAATTTCAAAAATATATGATCATAGCCTTGACTTGAGTACAGCTTAAACGTGTATCCATCTGTTGTATGTCAAATTATTTTCATAAAATTGGTTGTTGGATTATTTTATGTGAAATAATATATTGTATATTACATAAGATTAAAGCCGTTGTCATTTCAAAGCATTACATTTCAAACAATGTAGCCAGTAGAAATAGAAATAAAAGCTTTATGTGTTAAATGAAGGATTCTTTGAAAGTGTATAAATTAAAAGTATATCAGAAAATGATGATAATGGAAAAAGGATGAAGGATCAAGTCTCCTTATGCTATATATAGATTTAAATGTCTCGTCTTTTCTCATCTATATATAAAGCTTGTCTATATATATAAATTAGAACGTACGCACGCATTAACAAATGCAAGTCTGCGAGATGCAAGTTCCCCACAGAAAATTCAATAAACTCGCCGCGCCGTCTTGCTATCTGCTGCCATTGTTCATCGCGCGTTACTCGCTATCATACGGTTCATTGCGGTAAAGAGAACAAAGGAACTTTCAACGAAAGTAGCTATATTTGCCCTGCAGAATCGATACTCCCATGGTGCATACCTCGCAGCTCTCTCTCTCTCTCTCTCTCTCTCTCTCTCTCTCTCTTTCTCTCATATTTTACACTTTTCTTATTACGACGATGTATATGCGCCGTGCCATGAGAGTGTGTCGCGTTAAAAAAAGAAACAAAGCTGTTGGAAAATACAGTTCAAAGAGCGCATCGACACGTGGTGCATGAAGAAAGGAAGGGGGGGGGGGGGGGAGAGAGAGAGAGAGAGAGAGAGAGAGAGAGAGAGAGAGATTGTATACTGATTAAAGTTCGGTGATTGATGAAGTTTTCCTTTGAATGCTCGACTTTCTGACTTTCGGCTGTCTGCCGCGTGGCAGGTCTCTTTTCCCTCTGTGAAGAAAAAAGAGTTAAATTGTGTGCGATTGCGTTGATGTCGGCAATCAATCGATGAAAATACGCTCGTATCAGTGTTGTGTATATATGTATTGTTCGCATCGAACATAATTACGGGCAGGCTTGCTAATAACAAAAACAACCACAGCTTTCTCTGTAACTTTCCACCCGTCATGCATAAGCTTTGTAATTAAGTAATTTAATCCGTTCGATTAAACTGCTGCGCACATAAATTATATTTGCACGATATTTTGCCATGAATTTTTTTTCGAGGAGCATATCGCGCTGAACCAATCGAGGGATAATTCGGCATTTACATAAATGTGTTCTTGACGTTTATCAATCAAGAGCATAGGTAAATATGTTTTGATGGTTATCGATAACGTATCAATGTTTGTTGGGTCAAGAATAACGAAAGTCAATATTCCATATGTTCAAACATAGCATATGCATTTAATGCTCACATTTCTTACATTTAAATATCAAAAATTAGAATGCTAGAATGCTTAAGACTAAGAGAGAAAGAGAGAGAGAGAGAGAGAGAGAGAGAGAGAGAGAATGTTCTAACATTCTTCAAGATTATCAGAAATGAATGATTCTTCAGACTATATTCATTGGGATAGAATATTTAGTATAATCACACATTTAACGCGAAATGTATAATTAGTATAACAACGCAATATTAACATAATTAAACGTTATGAGGAAGGATTTGGTCTCGATTGACGAGAAACAACGCAAATACAGTAGAGGGGGAAAAAAAAGGAATAAGGACTGTGGACTCACGTCATAATTCGCCGCAACAGGCTGCAGCTGGTCACGTCGACGCGCACGCGTGCTTTGGTAGTTCGTGCTCTTCGGCAATTAATTGTCGCGCTAATTAGTACACGCTGCCGGCGCCGCGTTTCTAATTCCCCTTAGATAGCACTCAACAATCGCACAAGTAGTCGCTAGGGACCGGTGCTGAGCTGCTGTGGTGTCGACCAGTCGACAAGTGGGTGCTGACCGGGTGCTGCTGCTGCTACTGCTACTACTATTGCTACTGAGTGCTGCTGGCCTGTGGTATATAGTTGCCACTACCTCAGTAACTGACTCGCGCGCACGATTCCACTCGGCATCGGTGGCGATGGGATGCAGGGGACGAGCATCGGAGGGTGGAAGGTCGGCTTGGATGGAAGGGAGAGAGCGAGAGCTCTCCCCTCAAACCCGCACGATTTGCAGGGATGTGTCAAACCGTACGTCAAGCGTATAGGGAAAAGAGGGATGCGGAAGAGAAGGGGGTGAAAGAGGGCGGTCAGGTGAAAGGCGAGGTACGAGGGGGCGAGGAGGAGAGGGAACAGTGAAGGGTGGAAAAAAAAGAGAGAGCTAATATAAAGAGAGGGATCAGTCACAGTAGGCGCGCACATAGATAAAATGCGAACGGAGGCATATGTTGCCTTGTCGTCATCGTCGTTGTCGGCACTCTACTATAAATTGAAACTATCCCGCGCGTGTACTGACTTTTCAGCGATTATCAGTCGTGGCTAGATAATCGTGCAAATTGAACGGCGCGTGGCGGTCAAGAAGTAGGACATCCCACAATGAATACGACGGCGGTCTTTATAGCGTTATCGCGAAGCTGGGTAGTAATTTTGTTAAAACGCTGTTGATGATACACACATCTCGCGTAAAAGAATGTGCTTGCAAGAAAAATACTGTTAAAGTCTATGAACAAGATATATACTTATTTATCGGGAGGATACGTAACTGATTATACAACAATAGATTTTAATTATTATTAGAGTCTACAGCCTGTTGATTCAGCTTCTATTTCTGAATTTGGGGATATCTCTCTCTCTCTCTCTCTCTCTCTCTCTTATTTTCATTCTCTTTCTCGCTCGCTCTGGGAACTGACGTAACTATGTCGAATGACGGAATGAAATATAAAGCGGATATCTCATACGTCACGCCATACTAGGTAAACTTCACAATTGCATGTGCGTGTGTGTTGCTCGTAATGCATTTACAAATGACACGTTTTCCGGCGTGCACGATCGAGGCAAACAGGTGTCCTTGTACTATATTGTACTTATTGACGTGTCGCACCTCGTAGTCGCCGCGATAGTCTGGACAGAGGAGGGTCGATGATCAGGGAAAGTCCGATTCTCTTTCTCTCTCTCTCTGTCTCTCTCTCTCTCTCTCTCTCTCTCTCTCTCTCATAAGCTCGTAAGATTCTAGGTCACGCAGTGAAAATTTTACGTGCTGCGTAAGCATGCGCCGATTTTGCCACGTGTCGTCCCTTTTATCATCGGAAGAAGTATGTATATTCATTCCAGGAGATAATGGCCCGGGTAATAAATTAGGTTTGGGAAATTGTAAATGTTCCTTTTTACTTTATATTAATGATATAAGAGATTAGTCAATATTGTTCTTGATGCAAAAAATAATTATATGTTATTTATAACTGAAAATAAATAAATAGTTATACTAGTAAACCGTTCATTTGATGGATATGAGTAAGATTATATATTTTTCTTTAACCAAAATTATGCAATTGATTTAATTATTAGGTAGCACTTAATAATATTAACACTTAGCACTTAATAATATTAATCGATAACTAATGTTGGCTAATGTTTCTCTTGATAATTATAATAATAATAATAATAATAATACAATACTTCTCTAATGTATTATCTAAAATAAT